TCCCAGTGTAGACACTGCGTCTGGGATTACAATCCACCCTGTAATCTGTCACTTTTATATAGACACACACGAGGGAGTGGAGTGGTTTCCATAGAGAGGAAATATCACAGCCCACTTAGGAACAATACAAGAAAAGGAGGAGCCGTGACCCCAGCAGAGACAGAAGTTCAAGGGGATGTTTCTGGGGCAGACCTCCTGCTCCTGAAGCTGCCGCCCGCCTCACTGAGCATTTCTACCCCAGAGCGAAGGCCACTCACAGGTAAGGTTTAGGCTGGGGACTTGTCCATGAAGGATGACTTTATTTGCCCTGGGTTAGGCAGGATGTGCTGGGGACCAGACAGGGGTGAGAGACAAAGGCTGCAAGCGCCCTCCTGGGCACCAGCCCCAGGGAGCAGAGTGCGGAACACCGCAGCCTGCATTTTAGGTAAGGAATAATCCACCCTCCCTTTGTTGGTACAGAGAGACTTGCTTTGCAAAGGTAATAGATTGGAGGCAGAGTGGGGTCTTGCAAATGTTATTTTTCCAAAGAAATGGGGAGGTGGGTGTGAATAGAAACTACAAACTACGGGCTGTTATTCCCCACACTCCTGCCCAGGAACAGGAGGGTGCTTGCACGTATTGCTTCCTCTCTGTACACCTGTGGGGCATGGAATGTCTCCTCAGGCTGTGGCCGCAGAGAGGCTAAGTGATTGACCCCGGGGCAGGTGAGGGGGTGAGGGCGGTTTCGAACCCAGGTCCTATGCCTCCTTTCTCCCTTGGCAAGCTGGGGACACCAGAGGAAGGAGACAGACATTTGTAATGACTTGGTACCAGCTGTGAAGGGGAGGGAACATAAAGATGGATTTTGATGTCTCTGTTTGATGTCCAAGTTCTCTGAGAAATCCTATTTGCAATTTTCTCCTCAAATGTGACAATCTAGTGAACACACACACACACACACCACTTCTGAGAATGGGTTAACTAAGATGACTATGAGCACTGCCGGGGACACGTTCTCTATAACATGTCAACGCTTCTCCTCTTCCTCTTCGGGGGGAAGAGCCTTTCACGTAGAGACCCTCCTAGCTCACCTGGAGGGTAAGCGGCTTAGCCATCTGTGGGAACATGTGTGACATGGACTTCCAGGAGTCCACCGTAAGAGAACAGCTCCTTACTCTAACACCCGTTGAAATGCATAAAGGTACCCTAGATTGTGCAGCCACAGTTTTATAAAATGGTTTTTAAATTCAGCTTCTTGCCGGTGTTGGCAGACCAATGGGGTAATATGGGAACTAGCCCTGCCCTCCTCGCTGCAGGAAAACGGGCCGGAACGCGGCAAAGCTGTTTGCTTCCGGCTTCACTGCCTGAACCTTTCCCCTTGGCGCACCCTCTCCCTGGGGGTGCTCTGGCTTGTGGGGTGGCGCAGGTCCCTCGCCGCCTCACGTCCTCGGGTGGGACCCTGGACAGCTCTGAGAAGCACCTCGAGAAGCCCTTGCTAGAACCCAGAAGAAGGGCGGAGTTTCAGGTACCCAAACCCAAAAAGCACAGATGGAGAGCTTTGCCCCTCTTCCATCTAACCAGATGGGGGGGTGGGGGGCTCATTTTCACAGCAGGTAGCAGGGACCTCTTAAACCTTTGTGTCCGCTCACTAGGGTGACGGCAAAAGAATCCAAAGAATGTAGGAGGGGAATCAGACTTGACTGAGGAGCAAAGAGCTTCTTCCCTTCTGCCCCGAAAACCCTAAACTGAGCTCTCTCCACAACTTCCCTGCCTGCATTAACCCTTTCTCCGTGAACTGGTGTTTTGAGTCTTTAACTTTCCTTTTGATCTTACAAGCCCTTGGAAACTCCAAAGCTTCAAGATGCCTCCAAGCTGTAAGGCAGCTAAAGCCATGATTCGTACTCTTTACACAAAACAACCAACAAGCAACTGGGTCCTCAGTAAATGATAAAGCCAAATGTTTGGTTATTGAACATGATATTAAAAGACCGAGTCCATTTTCCCACAGAGATAGTCGATACGCCCCTGTCAAATGTTCTCCAGGAACCTGGCGTGCAATTCTAAGCTCACGGGAGAACGGGGACACCCAGAGAAGTGGTTCTCACGGTGTGGTCCATGGACCCGCAGCATCAGCATCCTCCAGAGGGCTGTTAGACACGTAGATGCTTGGGCCTCCTCCCAAACCTACTGATCCACAAGCCCCCCAGGATGGCACCCCTGCAGCCCATGTTTGAACAATCCCCTCATGGGATTCTACACTACTCTAAAAGCTGACAGCAACTGACTGATACTGAGTTCAGGGCAGGAGGAGCCTGCCAGGGTGAGGACGGAGAAAGTGGTAAACGGTCAAAAACTAAAAGCCAGAAATACAACACAATAAAGATATCGGTCTGCAGGATCAAATGAGTGGATCAAAATTACCTGGCATCTAAGATGTAGATGTAGAGAGAGATAGATAAAAATACATAGATGCAGATATCGCTTCCTAAATGGTTATGCATGAACCGAATCTTATCCTAATAGGACCTGGAAATGATTTATGTGGAAACAGATAGGAAGCAGCCTTCTTTATTAAGTATCTGGCTAGAGCAAGAGCGTTTTCCACCTCGATTTCATCTTCCACGCAAGCTTTATGAGGTAGTTACTGCCGTCCCCATCTATCGGATGAGGAAATTGAAATGCACAGAGGTCAGGCAATCTGCCCACAGTGCTCAGGCAAAGAAGGATGGGGCGGATTTGAACCTGGGTCTCTGTGACCCCAGAGTCTGTGTTGACTTCTCTGCACAACGCCACATGCCCAGACACAGCAAGGCTATGCATTCGGATCATATAAAGAAGGATTGCCTATTTTTTCATAACTGCGTGATAAAATAAGCCAGAAATTTTTATGATGTAAAAACAAATAACAAACAAACAAATCAGCATGGTTTCTTAAGGGAAAGAAAAAGGAAGGCAGTAGGCACAATGAGGAGTGTCCAGGGAAACACTAGGCATCTACACAACACCTGCCAGGTCAGTGTGTGTGTGTGCGGGCTCACGAGATTCCCCTTTAGAGAGAGAGCGAGGCTCGGGTGTTTAAGGGTCAGGTCTAGCCCCGTCCATTCACAGCCTAAAGAAGTTGGGAGGGCAGCGTGGGTTCATTCTCACTCTGTTTCTGGGAAATGATCTGCTCCGGGTCATGTTGACAATGCTTTGCAGAGCTGAGGCTCGCCCTCAGCCTCAGACGGCCAGCCCCCCTCACCTCTGCCTGTCACCGCAGAAAACAGAACGATCCTGCACTAGTCTAGCCGTCTTAATGCCCAGAAGGACCCCCGTGTTGATTTATTTATCCAATTTGTTTTGCTTCCTCAAAAACTACCTTATAGAAGCAGTCGCCCAAGTTCCATAGCTAACCACGCTTTTCTTGCTTTCTTTTGTGGGAGCCAAGGATGTCTCAGGCAGAAAATAAACTCCAAGTTCAGGTAAAACAGCCCAAGTGCAGCCCTTCACTCTTTGTGCCTCCTGGGATCACCAGGCATCCTGAGAACGGGAGGAGGTGGGGGGTCAGCATGTCAGGGCGTGCACAACAGCCGACAGTCCTTCCTCTGGGGGGGGGGCTTGATGAAATCCCACACCTTGGACCGCACATTTTTTTCTCACACCTGATGAAGGATGACAGTGAAATCAATGAATCTCATGTGCTTAGTTCAGTGCTGGAGACAGTGCAGACAGGACAGACCAAGGGTGCTGGGGTGCAGGGTGGGTTTGGTCCTAGGACCCAGGAGGTGAATCCTGCCCACTTCACCATTTTTCTAAGGTACAGTGACCACACAACCCAAATTCTGATGGTCTTCTGACACAGCTGTGAGCTGTTACTACAAAGGAGGCTGGGCAGAAGGTGGGAATGATCCAGCTGGAGCCCTTCTCCCCTGCTCTCCCCTGCTCGGTGGCCCGACAACCATGACGGCTTCGAACCCGAACAGGCCAGCATACAGGAGGGACACTGAGCTGGATGTTGTCATGGCCACATGCTCCTACACTAAATTTAGGGGTTTTTCCTTTTCTTTTCTTTCTTTTCTCTTTCTTTCTTTCTTTTTCTTTCTTTCTTTCTTTTTTCTTTCTTTCTTCTTAATAAAAGACTAGATTCAAATGGTTGCTATAGACTATAATCTTTTCATGCCTCTGAGCATCTCCTAGCCCTGGACAATTGCATGACCTGCCCTGCATTTGAAGGCACTGACCCACTCCTGGTACAGCATGTCCTTGAACATGGGTGTCCCTGGATTAGTTCTCAGACGATTTCTCTCTCAGTCAGTCGGACGGATAACCAAGAACATACATATAATAGAGACAACTGATAGTTTTAGAACTGAGGTCACATCAATCTTAAACACTAGAGAATACAGGTGGTTTTTGTGAAATACTTAATGTCTCTACACAGAGATCAAACTGACTCTCACTTCATAAATTCTGTAGTAAAGCCAACCAAATTCACAACGTGTTTGCTCCTGAGGAATGCTGATAGCCCAGCAGGGGATGGGTCTTGAGGAGCTGCCTCACACACACTGACTGGACCACCCACCATGGTCTTCAAGCAATAGGGACGCACTGAGTCAGCAGCACTAAGGATAAGAGAACTAAACGTCACTCAGCCACTAAAATCAACCCAAGTAAGCTATGAAATGTTCTCCTTGCATATTTGCCATTCATCTTGCAGGGCCAGGGGTGACCAGCAAAACTGAATGAAATAGAAACCATCAATACCAGCCGATTAATGGCACTCAAACTTTACTGACCATCAGAATCACCTGAAGGCTTGATTAAAACCCAGATCGCTGGCCCCAGACTTTTTGATCTAGTCGTTCTGGGGGCAAGACCTGAGAACTTTTTGCATTGGTGACAAACTTCCCGGTGCTGCGGCTGGTCCCGAGGCCACCCTTGGAGAACCGTTGTAGAATATGACCAAAGCCCTACTGAATGTTAACCCATGTCCTTCCGAGAGCTGAGCCCTTCTCACACCCCGTTCTCGCCCACAGGGAGAGATGCTGAAGCCAGCCCACCTCCTGCTGTTGCTGCTGCTGGTGCCGGGGGCCCCCCGGCCAGGCCTCTCCCAGAAGTCCTACGGGGCCAAGTCCTTGTTCAGCTGTATTGACACAGCCCTGTCGGAGGCCAGGAAGAGCCGGCTGGGGGATGCGTCGCCGCTGAGCGCGAGAGGCTTGCCCTACCTGCCCAGCCAAGAGCCCTCCTCAGGACAGGACGACGAAAAGGAGGCGGAAGAAGACAAGAAGAGGACCTTCCCAGGCTCCAGGGGCGGCAGTGGCGCAGGAAGCGCCCGGTACAGATTCCTGCCCCCAGCTCAGCCCAAGGGGAGGCTGTACCCGGACCAGGCCAAGAGTGACCGGCGCACCAAGTTCACGCTGTCCCTCGACGTCCCCACGAATATCATGAACATCCTCTTCAACATCGCCAAGGCCAAGAACCTGCAGGCCAAGGCAGCTGCCAACGCGCTCCTGATGGCCCAGATTGGGCGTAAGAAGTAGAAACAGAGGCCTGCAGGAGGGTGGCGGACACGGACGGAGGCCGGGGTGGGGGGCCAGCCGCTGCCGGTTCGGCGGCTTTGTATCTGGGGGGATGGGTCGGGTTCTCCAGGCTGCTTCACCGCTCGGCCCCTCCGCTCCCTTCCCACCTGCAGCCCAGCCCCTCCTCTGCGCACATGCACACAAGCGCAGGCCTGTCCCACCTGCGCAGACGTGAGGCCGTTCCCGCTCTCCCTCGTCGGACGTCTCTCCCGCCTCTCCTCTCCTCGCCGGCAACGAGGCAAAGGTCGCCGCCGTCCTGCTCTTCCTCCACGACCCGTGCCTGGGAACAGGACGCACAGCGCTCCTTCCTGCCCACACACCACCCCATCCGCACCTCACCATCCTGACTTCAGACCCCTTCCCTCCCCTCTCACGCCCATTAAAACCGATGGCTTCCGCAACCCCGGGCTGCTTTCGGTTCCTCTTCCTTCAGCCATTGGCCTTCACGTCTCTGAGCGTGGAAAAGGGGAAGTGAATGAGAGAGGCAGCGGAGGAGTCCGTTCCTGATCTCTCCTGGGATGGAAAGGTTCTTGGAGGTTCTAGCAGGGGTAAAGAAAGGCTTGGAAAGGCCAAGCTGGTAGGACTCCACCAGGCATCGCTCAAGCTAGAGCCATGTGCATGGCCTGGTCCGGCCCAGGAGGCCCAGCCCAGGGTGTGCTGTAGAACGGGCACCGGGTTAGGTAGGGAGGGGGCTTTCAGTTATTCGCCCGCCATGGCTGGGCACAGGGCCACTAGGCCGGCGAGAGGCGTTTATTGGCCCCGCGGTAACAGCCCAGCCGATGCCAGGCCTGGCGGGAGAGGCTAGCGGGGGAGGCAAGGCCTCTGCTCTCGAGTCAGCATGCCACGTAAGGATGGGAACCCCGACTTGAAAAGTAGCAAATACCACCAGGGACGGTATGAGCGACGAACTGCCAAGTGATAGCAACCGGCGTAAAAAATTATAGGAGGGATTCAGAGATGAGAAGTTTTAATACGAGTAAAAGTCCACTAAAAAGGGACATCGGCAAGAACTCTGATGGTCTCTGGCTGCATAACCCAAAGGCCAGATTCCCAAAGAGGGATTGTGGTTCTACTGCCTCCTGCGTGGTGAGATGTTGTAAGTAACAGGACAGGAACTTCTGCGTGTTGCCAATTACTTTGCAATAAACGACATCCACACACACCCACAGTGCATGCTACCACTGCCCCCCGAGGCCAAGTCAAAACACAGATGCAAGACAGATGAGAAAAATGCTTGCCGGTCATATAAAAGACCAAGGGCTTACTGATCAAATGACAGAGCTGCTAAAAATTGAGAAGAAAAGAACAACCCCTCCCCCCAAATAAGCAAGGCCATGAATAGATCTCTCTCTCTCTCACACACACACATTCAAATGATCTTTATGTATGAGAAAATGCTAAACTTCATTCCAAGAGAACCGCACTCATATACAATTTCTCACCTATCAGATTGGAAAAGTCCCCAAGTATGACAATTAACCTCGACTCCACGGATAAGGTCAATAGCCACCCTCCTCCATTGCTGGCTGGTGGGAATATAAACTCTAGAGAGACAATTTGGAAGTACTTATCAAAATTCCAAATTCATTTTTTCCCAAGATTTTATTTTTAAGTAACCTCTCCACCAACGTGGGGCTCGAATTTACAACCTCAAGATCAAGAGTCGCATGCTCCACTGACTGAGCCAGCCAGACGCCCCAATCCTAATTGTTCTAAAGGGAAGGAAACCCCCAGCCCCTCTGCCTGCTCCTCAGTAGGGAAGAATATGTACCTAGAAAAGGAACAACCTCACTGGCAAGAGTTGAAGAGTATTCTGGGAGAATATGGCAAGCCCACGGTAACCCCTGGGTGACACAGCAGTCTCCTGGTACACGGGGGTTTAACATTGTGATGAGGCTTCTGTGAGTCCTTGATGCACAATACCTGTCACCTGCCCGAGATACACCTGTGGATAACTGCGGGGCAGAGGTGCACGAACAGGCTGCTTCATGGCCATGAGCCCAGTCAGTTACTGAGTGACCGGTCTCGGGGCAGAGTCTGGGGCAGATGGCGTTGACCTCTCCTCATTATCAAGGATGCCCCATATCATTAAAGACTGCAAGAGAGCTGCTTACGTTTTCACAGGTCTGTGTTACTGCATTTTGTGAAGGAGATTACTGATGAACATGGCAATGCTCAAAGGTCTTCGGCAAAGTCTCACTGCATAAGCTCTATCTGATTCTGTTTTAGGAATATATCAGGGAGCCCCCCAGATCCACTGCCCTAGAACTGAGTGTGCCACATGCTAGAAAGTCTAGGAGGGAACCCCCAAAGACAAAGGCTGATAGAACTGAGTTCAGTTGACATATTGTGTAATAAACACATTTTTAAAAATTAAAAAATAGTAGATTCCTAACAATCGTTAGCCTTTATAAGGAACTATGCTATGTTAGCCCTGAGGACCCTCCTCTGAAGTGGATTTAAATTAAAATAATAATTATTATAATAATGCTTTGGCTGTATCCATGGAGAGACCATGGGATGAGTGATACCAAAGGGAATCATGATCCTTCCCTATCAAGGATCAGTAAGATTCATGGGGCCAACAAAAACACTAGCATCAGTTCATCATGGCCAGGAAAGGAAATCACACCATGGAAAAGATAAAAAAAAAAAAAAAAAAAAAAAAAAGAAATGTGATGAACACAAAGGCATTTGAGGTTCACAGGAAAGTTTCAGAAGTGGTTTTTGGGGTGATAATAATGAGATCATGTCAGTGAAAATTCTCAACACAATTTCTGTCAGATAATTTGTGTTGATTTGAGCTCCCTTGAAAAAATCATCAAAACTCTCTTAAAAATAAAACAAGGCTCAAAAGCCAAGTGAAGCTAATCAAAAGAGACAAGACCAGAGCATGGATGATGTGACCTCTAAATGTCCTACCTCAGAAGAAATCTGAAAAAAAAACACCAACCACAAGCAAAGGGGCCTGCTTGTGACAGTGGTGTGACTTTGGAGCTGTAACCAAATAATCAGGGAAAGCTGAGTGACACCCAGAATTCAGTCAGATATTTTATATAATTCCAAAAACCTGGGAGATTCACAAGTTCACAAGAATGTAGAATTAAACGAAAAAGACAGTTGCCATATATTAAGAGCCAAAGAAATACAAAATCTTGCCAAATGGTGTAGCTAGCTAGCTACCTTAGTAAGAATTACAGATGAATTTCAATCTGACTTGAAAATTAAGGAATCACGTTAATCTAAGCATGGGCTGTGGGACAATTTGTTCTTTTAAAAACAAATGTATTGAGGTATAATGGATATGTGCCCTTATGTCAATTATCCTTATATTCGTTTCAAGGGTACAACATAATGATTCCACCTTGTTCTTTCATTAATGAAGTTCCCATCATAGACTATTCCTAGGGTTGAGCACATTCCATTAGAACCTGTCACCGCCCAGTGGATATCACTAAGAAGCCTCCATAAGCGGAGAAGGCAAAAGACACACAAAAAATTATCTTGGGAAGGAAACCCCAAACCTATGGGATGACACAGTGTTTTCTTAAAGACAAGCATGTTTCGCCCCCGGAGAGGATTCTGCCCCTTCCTCCCTAAGCCATTGTTCCCTACCTGAACCTCACGTCATCAAACGCTACCATTCACCAACAGCTGGGTCAGTGCGCCTCGCTTCCCCATCATTTTAGCTCTTAGCTCATCAATCTCTCTGACACCATTCCTGCCTTCACGATTTCAGCACACGTATGGATGACCCGTCCAACATCCTGGTCTCATTTCTACTCCCTGACCCTGTCCCTCCAACTCACTCGTGTGGCCACACTCCAGACTTTGTCATTAAATCATAAGCTGTCCGACCACCCCTCCTATCTTCCCAGCTTGTTCTTTCCAGGAAGCCAACCCCAACCATCTTCTAGCCCCACTGAGACCAATAATCCATCGATCCTCAAAACTGCCCTTCACTCTTGGCCAGTGCAAATGCTGTGATCAATCATTATCACTGTAGCCGTGTAGACACCTGTAATTCCCTTGTTCTGCTTTTGCTTTGCCTTATTGATGAAACCCTGATGAATTCACTCTACCACCTTGCCCCTGCACTCTGACGCCGAACACAACTTAAAACACACGCACGCCATGCACGCGCACACACTCATGCACGCACACACATCCACGCACACACGGGCGCAATCACCGATCCCACTTTATGATCCTGACAAGCCCTTCGTGCAGTTCAGCAATGGCATCGCATACCTTCCACTCCCACTCAGACTACCCGGGACGTTCACTCATCTTCTCTCCGCAAACCTCACACATTTCCTCCGCATGTCCCATCTTAGCTGGTGACCTTGCTTTTCACTTCACTAAGAAAATCGGATGCTTCTGAAGCAAAATTTCACAAAGCCCCATTGGCACATTCGCCTACCCCAGGCGTCACCATCCACACACTCAGCCTTCTTCTCTAAGCTGGACGCACCATCCATGTACCCTATGTCATGCCCAAAGTTCCCATCCCCTTTGGCCGCCTTGAGACACTGATCCAACAACTTTTCCTCCTTTCTCCCACGTCATCAGCATTACCCCACCCGCCGCATCAGTCACATCAGCATACAAACCCACTTTACTTGTCCTGTATCAACAACAAACCCCCAAATCCTTGACTGCCACTCCTCCAGATCGTAGCCCACCACTCTGCTCCTCTTATGGCTATCCACTGTGGGCACTTCTCTCTTGGGACTGAATGTCTCTCATTCCCCGTTAAACCCACACTTCTCCGGCTTCATCCCTACCGTTCCACTGAAACTGCTCGTCAAGGTCAGCCAAGACCTCCACATTGCTAAATTCAATGGTCAAGGGACAGCCTTCATCCTGCTTGACCTGTGGACCACTACCTACCTCCTCCTTCACGCACCTTTTTCCAACCTGACTTTGAGGACACCCTACTGTTTCCCTTCTTTCCCACT